CAGCACATCAGCCAGTGTCAGATATTAAAAACAGATGTCCTTTTAAAGGTCTGTTAATAAAACTCATTCAAACTTTTTTTTGTTATTGTTAAATCATTTAAGAAAGAGGTAGGATGTAAATTTTATCTGCTTAAGTGTGATGTGTTAGATCTGAAGTTTGGGGTGCATTGTTCACATGGCTCCAAAATTACCATCTTGTTATACACTGAAATGGGGCAGAGCTATCTATTGAAATCAATTTTTCTGGCTGGATTGGTGAATCATTTTATATACATGCTTTTTATATTTCTTTACTCCTGAGTATTACTGAGGATATCTTAGGCATAACTTTTGAAAAATGTGTTTATATTTGATTGCAGCTTTTTTTTTCTTGAACAAGAATCTGTACCTTGGACAGAACTGCATTGATTTTTTTTGTAAAATATTTCTTAGGTATTCACTTAGTGCCCCAAAAACTGTTCAGGAATGAGTGAAGAACCACAGAGTTACAAAAATTTAAATTGGTAGAATTGAGTTGTATGGAAAAAAAATGCAAAAGGATCCTTTTCCGAAGGAGGAAAACATTACTGAGTTCTTTTTTTCCCCTGAGTTAGTCTCTTAGGTTAGTCTTTGTTCAAACATGAAATTTTCTGAAGATGAGCTGTATGTTTTCCGTGTCATAACAGCCTAAAGTAATTTCTTGCAGACAGTTACCATATGATGTTTTTCTGGTTGTATAATAATTCTACTAAATTTATGTTAATGATTGACCTGCCTAAGCCGCCTGACAGATCTCCTTGTCCCTCTGTAAGCCTTCCTTGCCTACTCTGATATAAAAGAATTTATTGAAACACTGATGCTGTAAGGAGAAACTCTAACACTCTGGAACCCACTCTCTGGGTCTGGTCATTGGGATGATGGTGGTCAGTTATGATGCCTGCAGCCTGCTGGAGGAATACACATGGTCTGGACTGAGAATAACAAGCTTTGACTGGAATTTCAAGGGCAAGTAATAGTCATGTTTTTAGGTCAAAAACTGATCTCAATTTCAGGGTTCAGTAATTAATTTGGTAAGACATCTCAAGCTAGCCTGGTTTCTGCAATTCTGTAAGGTATAGGAGATGTCGGAAGTTTCATAAACCGTCAGGATAGCTCCTACTTGGAGCTGAGAAATGATATTGTCTGAGTAGCTGGATTCTGTCATATAAACCAACTTTTGAGGGAACTCGATACATTTTATAAGTCTATGAATATTTATGGAGTTGTATGGCCCAGATTTTCAGTGCCAAGGTCAAGCTATGAGCTGCAAACAGTCTTCATTAGATTGCTCTTGGCATTGACGTGGAACTTTTTATCAGTTTTTTTGTGATACTGCTTATACTGAGGAGGTAAGGTCTAGGAGAAACAGTATGTTTCTGCTAAACTTGAGGACAAAAGTGAGTTCTTGGCTGAATTGTGTGCTTGTCAAAAGAAGGTGCATTGCTTAAGTTGAAGAGAGCAAATAAGCTGTGTTTTAGGTAACTGGTGGTTTAAGAATGTAGAGAATAGAGGTTGACAAGTCGTCAGGTGGCTTTCAAGTGCTGATGTTCAAGGTAGGCTGTCCATAATTCAACAATTTGAAGGCAGCAAAGTGATCTGTCATTGGTGTCTTGCAACCAAATGTGAAAGTGAAATGAACATGGAACTGACTGCAGGGTGGGTATTCCCAATTGCTTCCTTCCAGCCTAGCATCAACAAACAACTTCTGAGAAGGATTTTTGTATCCTTCATTTGTTTAAGATTCACTAAGGTGTTCAATGTTTTACTAAGATCTTCTGATCAAACTAAAAGCTGACATGCTGAATCTCTTAGCTGATAACTATTTTCATTAATTTTAGTTCAATTAACTAAATACAGAATGTGATTGTAAGCAATTAGAAATATTATTCTGTACTCAGGAAGTGTAAGCAGATAGATAATTAAATGTCTTTAATGTGTAACTCATTCTTAAATATTAACTTATAACTGGTACCTTTGTAGCACTGTGATCTCTGGTGTGGGTAGAAGTTAGGTGACTTTGTTTGTGCACGGACTTCCTTGCTTACTTGTATTAAGCAAGACTGTTAATTGATTGCAGTCCCTAGGGGCAGGTTCTTTAATATTGAGTTCTAGCAGTCATCTTCCCAAAATGAGTGACTACAAAAAGTGTTTAATGACACACAGTGTTATGAGTGGTTGGAGGGTGGTCCAGGAGAACAATAACATCTAAATTCCTTTATTTCAATTGGGACATTATGGTTCACCTGAGCGTAAAACCTGGATGATTTCTTAAAAAAACATTGTCATAGGGCTTTATACACTCACTGAATTTTCAGGAAAGGAACTGTCACAAAGTATAAGTAATAACTTTCTTTGAAGATTTGGGGCACTCTTAGTAGATTTTGATTCGTAGGTCATCATCGAGTATAATCGTCTTTATTAGATAATAGCAGTGTTTGACATTGGATTAAATTGCAGAATTATCATGCAAATGATACACATCTCACCTAATTTGATAAAACCAGAAACAAAGGGCTTATTGGGTAATGGGATCAGGGTTTAGGTGCAGAAAGTGGGGGTCAGAAGGTCAAAGGCAGAGAGACTTATAAGAAAAAGAGTTTTCAACATGAAAATCCCTTAATGTTACCTATCTTATAAGGTTTTTTCCTAACATAACCCATTGACTTTCTGGTAGAAGAGTATTTTGTTGTAATTTTCGATTCAAACAGTCAGTGCTCTACAGAGGGAACTAGAGAACATAGAAGCTGCAACACTTTGCCTTTACATAATGCATGCTAATTCTTTTTTCCTTCGATTGAATTTAATTTTCAGTTACTGCCAAGATCCATATGTTCTGCTGGGCTGGCTCAGGGGTTGGGGAAGTGTGACTCAGGGAACATATTGGGCTGTGTGCCCTGGAAATCTGTGAGGCTGTCGACTTGAGCTTCCGCCTCCTTGGCTGCTGTTCTACGGGTTTATCAATTATGTAACACATCTGTAGTTTGGTGCAGCGTGATTACGTCTGAATCGGTGTGGCATGGCAGCCCCGGAAACCCCAAGGGCAGAAGTAGCAGGCTGATGGTGATAGCGCTTTGTTCTACCTTCTGTTAGATGTTTAGCTTGTTACTTCACAAGTCAGTCATCAGCGTGCCTCAGTATTTCCTCGAGAGAGTTTGATTTACTGTCTCGATAATCCGAATGTTATTTTCATTTCATGTGGGACTCGCTGTAGAAGTATTTTTTATGCTGTGAGCGAGCATTTATATGCTAAATTGTGTTTTAATAATTTTTATGACAGGTAATGAAAACTGTGCCATCACTTATAGACTGGTTCTGTCCTGAAGTTGTTTACAGAGGAGTATGTGCCTTAGCATTCACAACTTTTTGGTAGCCAAGTGATGGGTTTTGACCCTCTGCTTATTTATTTTTAGATTACAGTCCTCAGAAGAGGAAAACTTAAATTTTTCACTTTGTAGACCGTTCACAAAAACATGTGTGCAGTAGCCTGCAGAAGAAGTTGTCATCGTTTTAGAACAGTATCCTGAGTTTTATTTCATAGATTGCTTTTGTTGTCTTTTACAGTATAAAGGAAATGAAGATGGAGAGACAGTTATTGTTGAAAAAGACCATTTTATGGATGAGTTTTTCCAACAGGTAAAGTTACAGTTTTTACTGTGCATTAAAGACTTAACAGTTTTCTTCCTGTGCCTTTTAATTTCTGCAATTAAGTTTAACAATTCATCTACACATATCCCCTATTATGTTTTGTAATGGTATGTCAAATCAAATGTCGGTAACACTTTTGCTTGTTTATTTCAGGGTATTTTCTGTCCTCATTGCATAGATGTGCTTTTAACTTCCTGTTGACAAGGAATTTGCTTATGGAATTTTAAGTATTTTTTGTTAAGAATAGTAGCACTTAAGTTTTTGGCCATACAGAATATATTTGCTATTAAGAATACAATTTTTTTCTTAACACAAAAAAAAAAAAAAGCAAGCTGTTAAAATGTCAACATTTCTGCTGGGATTTCTGTCAGATACTCACAAATGTTACAATGAAATACTTCATGATTTTTATTACCGAAGATTTTCTTTTTTTAATCTTTACCCTGAATTATTCTAATGCTCTCATTGCCGTATTTCTCTTCCTCTAGGTTGAGGAACTTAGAAATAATATAGCAAAAATAGCACAAAATGTGGAAGAAGTGAAGAAGCAGCACAGCATTATCCTGTCAGCACCAAATCCTGAAGGAAGTGAGTATCACTTTTTTTCAGATTTCAGATATGTGTGGCTAGATATTCTGATTATTTTTTTTTTTGTTTATTTTAGCTATCTATAGGAATAAAACTTCAGGTGTTCAGAATATAAAATGTAATACAATTTACTTATTTAAATATTTCCATATTTAATGCTGAATTAATATTTTCATTTGCTTTTTTTTACCTTTTTTAAGTATCATTTGAATAGATGCATTTTCAGAATATTTGTTGCATCATCCAAACCTTTACTAGGCCAGAACTGAGTTTAATATGGTATCTTGAAATTCACTGTGTCTTCAGGAACTTAGAGGCTACTTGCATTTCTTTTAATTTGTGAAAATGTTGAAGTTGTCAACTGAAGCTCACATGGTAGAGCCGTCATATTCTCTTGGTTCTTCAGCAAGGGCAAGATCCTGTCTAACACTACAGACAGCTGCTTCAGTGGTAGTAAGAGTTCCATGCTGGAGCCCTATTTTTAGAGGCTATAACTTCAAAGCTGCAAGTGAAGATGTGCTTTCTGAACAGACAACTCGAAAGTTTAGGGGACTTACTCCGAAATGTGGAACCTTCTCTGTTTTCAGCACTTAATTCAAGGCGTGCCTGGGTTTGTGGGCAGGGTTTAAAGCGAAGGGAAGGGAAGATGCTGAGATATTCTTGTGGAATGTTGCAACACTAGCTTAACATTTATCATCTTGATGAAGACTGAACTTTGGATGTTAGTTTTTATTTTCTCCTAATTTTCTTTGATTATGGATGGAAATATGTTTGTATTCTTACAAATGATTTTGCAGACTGCTTTTTATCTTAACAATTGTGTTTGCAATCAATGAATTCCAGGTTTAATAAGGGTTCATCTGAATGTTTAAAATCTGTGGTCTCAGCTCGTTTATCAGCTTGTGTTTGTGCTAAAAATTGTGCTCATTAATGCGTCTGAACTATGTAGGAACATGACACTACTTGTAAGTAATGTATGCTCTTGTGTATCTACTGTCTGCAGCAAAGCAAATAAGAGATCTAGCTAAGTTTTTAATGAATTTTCTGTATAGTATTCTTCAAAAAATATAAATAATACATGATAAAGTTCTGTTAATAAGAGTAGAAGCAATGAGTCTGTGATAAACAGAACTTAAAAAAAAAGTAAGATAAATCTGTATTTTCCACTTGACAGACTTCAGTGAACTTTCATTTTGACCAGCAAGTGAATATTACCCTGAAAGTGTTACATTGAGAAAAAGCATGGAATATTTTACCACCTGGTCTAGTTGGTGATTTGGTAATAACATTTCCAAAGTGTAAGGGCCTGTTATAAGAAGTAGGAATCTTGATAATATGCTGTTACGAAAATCATATTTAAAGTACTTAAGAGTATAATAAATTTCTCTGTGTGGTTGTACTGAATACAATTATGAGATCGCAAAGTAAATTTGTAGATGGTTGCTGTCTTAATATTATCAGACATTAATAGTTCTAAACAAATAAATTCTTTTTTTTTTCTAAAGGAACAAAGGAAGAACTTGAAGAATTAAATGAGGAAATAAAGAGGATTGCTAATAAAGTCCGAGCCAGGTTAAAGGGTAAGTTGTGAGGAGAAATAAAACTACTGTCACTTGTAATGATTCAGGGTGGTAGCAGTGTTACAAACTTAATGCCTTGCAGCTGAACTTCCAGACTTTAAAAGCTGTATTATGTACACGTAAGTTCTATTGTACAGCTCTTTAAAAAAAAAAAAAAAAAGAGAACCACCTCCCCACCAGTTAATGTATAGCCCATGTCAGTAACAGTATCGTCCTCTACAAATTACTGATCATTAATTCCTCTGTGTAAAAATGTACTCTGCAACTGAAATGCTGGTTTTGGGTCATGATATTTTGGAAGAAGATTAACTTTAACTGCAAAAAGACAGTCTCCATGGCATAAACATCTACTTAGGGAATTGCTCTAGAGCATCTATTGCATTTTAAGTTGAGCTGCTTTTGCTGTGCCTTTCCCCTATGACTATGTCTTAGTTGTTTAGAATAGGTTTTTGAACTGAGTGTTTTAGTATTGCTGTGTTACAATTACTATAGGCTTCTGTCCTTCCATGCACAGTAGGGTATGGTGTTCATTGTTTAAACTTTCAGAGCAGCCCATTTTGGCTTACCTTTTGGAATTTTTCCAGACTAATAGACGGTAGTGTGACTCTATTAAAGAGCCCTGAAGAAGTTACTGTATTTTAAAATCTGTACCAATTATCAAAATTATTTTAATCTTATATATCCATATCGCTGCCACCTCCATCTTCCTCCTGAAATGTTAAACATGTCTGTCGGGAGCTCGTACATGAAAAAAGAAATAATTAGTAGTATTTGCAAAGTAACTGAGCTACAGTATTAAATAATTATACTAAACATGTACTCATAATATTCTTATATTGTTCTTAGCTATTGAACAAAGTTTTGATCAGGGCGAAAATGCTAATCGGACATCAGTGGATCTCAGGATAAGAAAAACACAGGTATGATCACATAATAAGTTTAAAGAAAACAGAAGGATTCTAGTAAATCAGAGAATTGAGTTTCACTTTTCTGAAATAGTTTCAGAACTTCATGTTCTGTTTTGTTGGAATGTAAATACCTCTTTCAGTTGTTGTGCAGTAGTATTTGCTGTCTCAAAAAAAAATAAACATTTTTGTTCCACATTTTTAAATCCTCAAAAAACAGCACTCTGTATTAGCTCACAAGTTTGTGGAGGTCATGACGGAATACAACGAGACCCAAACTCTTTTTCGAGAACGCAGCAAAGGTCGGATACAGAGACAATTAGAGATAAGTAAGTGACCTGAATACACTTTTATTAAAAAGATGAATTGTGTTGTTTCTTACTATATAAAGATGGTACAAAACGTTATACATCTTAGACATCTTTCTGAAGCACGTGAGGGAAAAGAAACAATTTTATCGTATGGCGTAAACTCTTTCATACTACTCTTCAGAACAGCTGCAGAGAAAAAAGAGAAAACTCTTAAATCATTTCAATTATGTTGAAAATTCTTGAAGAAAATATCTTTTTCCTTTGTTTCATCTATTTCCAATGTTGCAACTTTACCCAGAATGTTAAGAGGAGCTGCGTTCTGAAGATAGCAAGTATTATTAAAAGCCATTCCAAAATTAACATGCTGAACAGGACAACATCTCTTTTTGTACTATGCTGGTTTTGTCAATAGAACATTTGTTAAATTCACCTGACTTAAAATCAGTGCTGCCATTATATTTAATAATTTGTTGAGTGACTCTCATTTGACTTATTTCATCACTAATTATTACAAGGAGTATTTGAAAAGTTACCTTACTCTACTCTGAAATACAGCATCTAACTCAGAAGGTGTCTAAAAATATCCATGACATCTTGTACCTAAAATTAACCTTTTTGAATATCTCCTGTAAAAGCAAATACATATATTGTTGAAATAGGAGATGCAAACAGAAAAGCTGGCAAATTATAAGAGGACTTCACGTTTCATGTGCTTCTCAAATTTGTCATGAGCCTCTCGTGCTAATGGTTTAATTCAGCATTTCAGTAAGGTTTATCAGGCAATTTAAGTTCTTTTTAACCTATACGTTTGAGGAGAGGGACCCTAATACCTTAGGATATGGTTCTTTTAAGTTAATCTTGTTACGACCCAGTTAAAGCCTGCAGCTTTTCCTCAGCACTGAATTTTAAAGCAAGTTTTGCAGCGTTCTTGAGTATTAACATCAGGAAGTAATATTCAAAGTAACTTCCATCTGACAGGACAGAATTGTATAAATTATTACAGATACTCAACTTATTTTACATGGAAAGAACAGAGGCTTGATAGGTAATTTTTAAAACTACACAATACAAATCACTTGAATGTGGTGTGTAACTCGTAACGCTTGCAATTGTCGTACCAGTGTGATCAATAGGATTCACTGTGCTTAAACACGCAGTAGTAACTACATCAATTGTTAGGTGTATTGTGAAAAGTAGAAGTGAAGGTACACTGGGTAATCATCTTCTCTGTGTGGAATGTGAATGTTATCCTGTGTTGGTAAAATCAAATTTATGTAAAGATTTTATTGCTCACACAGTAGTGGGGAGCGAGTAAATTAGGTGCCAATGTGATGGTATTGAACAGGTAAATATTGATAACATTATATATAAAAACTCTGTATATCAAGTTCTTCCTTCTGAAGAACACTCCACTTTTACAATGTATATATGAACCTTGTTATGTTTCTGATCAAACTTTTCGATTTGACCAAAAAAAAAAAACCAAACAAACAAGACCCCAGCAGCCAGGAATTCTTAATCTTAGCTTTGAATCTGCATTTGTTTTCTGGCTGTTACTTTATATTTTCTGGTTTTTCATATGCAAAATGGCACTTGGTAATGGCTAAACGCTACATTGTTTTATCCTGAAAAATGCTCATTGAATCTGCATTTGTTTTCTGGCTGTTACTTGATATTTTCTGGGTTTTCATATGCAAAATGGCACTTGGTAACAGCTAGACGCTACATTGTTTTATCCTGAAAAATGCTCCATATGAGAATTTTCTTGGAGTTTTCATCCTTCTGGTATGGTAAAGTTATGGTTATGTCAAGTACTGTTGTTTTTATCCTAGCTGGAAAGACCACCACTGATGAGGAACTGGAAGAAATGTTAGAAAGTGGTAATCCTTCAATTTTCACTTCTGATGTATGTATTCCTGCTCCAGTTATGCATCTCTCCTATTCTGCTGCTTCTGCTATTTGAGTGTGTCAGCACATATTTATGTCCATATCTTTTTTGTTCTCCTGAAGATTATATCAGACTCTCAAATAACTAGGCAAGCTCTGAATGAAATTGAGTCACGTCACAAGGATATCATGAAACTGGAATCTAGCATACGGGAACTACATGAAATGTTTATGGACATGGCAATGTTTGTTGAGACTCAGGTAAATGAACCAATTCAAACACATTCATGTAAGTGGGATTGTTTTTTCCCCTCAGTCTTCCTCTTTGAAATATGGAAAAACAGTTGCGTATATTCAGATAATACAGACTTACAGTGGGTTTTTTACTGTAATTAGAATAGATGAAAGTTAATCACTAAAAGTTTTTTGTTTTGGTTTAGACAAACGTACAATCTCAATGTACTTGCAGTATATGCTATGAATAATTAAGCATAAACTTTCTTTTCAGTTGATGCACTTAATATCTTTTTTCAACATGCTTATATTGCAATATGATTAACATTTTGTGCGTGTTTAAGAATAACTCTCCTCTAGAGTGTTGGCTAATATCTTGGAAATTTAGGATTCTTGCAGACATGGTAAAGGACTACTGTGGTAGAATAAAATGTGCATTGGCAAAGATGTTTGCATAGAATACAAGAGCATTATTACTGCTATAACCAACATGAATGTAAAGGGGTTGACAAGCCCTTCAAGTAGCCTCTTATGTTCATAAGCTTTGTCTTGACATTTATGTAAATTTATTCTATTTGTAGTCTCTACATACCAATTATCTAGCAAAAATATTTTTAACTTCTCTTCTTAAAACTCTTTGACTTACGCGGGAAAGTGAAAATAATAATTTTCAGGAGATAAACTTTCCTGAAAAGGACTATTATGGGCTTTTTTCAATTGGGTTTTGTTCTAGAAGTCCTGTGTTGCTCTGATATTAAATATATAACCAAGGTAAATTGGTAGCAGTATTCTTTTGAATTAGAAATGAACAAAAGTTACTTGTGCATCATTCTTTAATGCTTTGCTGTTTATTGCTGCTGATTATTTCTTCTGACGGACAGAAACACAGGTAATAGACTTACTGTGATTTTTTTTCACCAATCCTTCATTTCATTACCAAATTTCATTCATCATAATTAATTTGAATTTGTTACGTATTGACATTTTTGACCCTCAATTCTGAGGAACTTTTGAAGTTGCTATTATATGTGTGTGCTTTCTTAGATGGCTGTTGAACCATGTGTCAAAATAGTCAATATCCCATCCCACTTCCAGGCACATCAGGGATTTCAGATCTCTGTTGTATGTCAGTTTTAGTTTTGGCTGTTAAAACATACCTCAAGTTCAAAGGTATGTTTTCAGGTGTTCAGTAGTTGTTCCTGCGAAAGGGAGAAATATGCCTGCCCTGCCCATGAATGCTCCTTGTTTGGTTAGAGCTGTGAGCCCTTGCTTCTCATTTCCTTTTTCCTTTACACATCAAAGCAGAAAAAATGTCAGCTACTAATACATACCTTATTCACTTGTTTAAAATAAACGCTGATGTTCTATAGCCTTTCTTCTCTTAGGTTCATTAAACAAGGATTCATGGATTCCAATAATAAATTTTTTTCTTCAAAATTCCATTTTAAGGGTGAAATGATCAACAACATAGAAAAGAACGTGATGAATGCATCAGATTACGTGGAACATGCAAAAGAAGAGACAAAAAAGGCAGTTAAATATCAAAGTAAAGCACGAAGGGTATGCTGTCTTTCTGTAATTATGCTAGTCAGTATATTAACTTAGCACAGCATGAAGCAACCTTCACTTTTATTTGATGTTTTTGTTGTTGTATTCAGTCATTCAAGGTAGAATTAATATATGCATTTTACTTTTTTGTAGTTATATGTTTAAAATTTGATTAGAAAACACTGTTATAAATTAGTATATGACAGAGAGAAAGATTTACCAAAGGGTTTTACAAGTAAACAAATAAAAAACCCCATAATCCGGAAGAAATCAGAACTTTTACAATGTGAATTAATTTGTTATAGTTAATATTAAAAATTGGTATTACCAGTAGAGGACAGAAATTTCTTGTACTACAGAAATGGCTAAGAAATTCATGCACAGCTAAGGCTGTGTTCACAGTTTTCCACTTAAAAAGCTGTCGTTACAGAGTGTAAAACCCCCAAAAGAAGAATTAGTGTACTACACAGGTGGTTCTTGTAAACTACCCTGATACCTTAAATTATTCCAATTCTAAATAAGCTTAAAGGTTTTTGGTCACTGGTAAACTTACTTAGATTTATAGCTATAAAGTCACCATGTTAACTGGAAAAATAAAATTACTGGTTTTGCTGAATCAGGCTTATTTTTTAGAATTCCTTCTGTGATTATTCTTTTTACAGATAACTACTTTTGTACTTTTACGAAAAGTACTAGATTAAGGGG